TAGGAGCCAGGCAGAGCATGGTGATGTGTAACCTCAACATTCAGGGAGGGCTGGAAGAGTAAAAATTGTCCCCCAGGCTTATTTATGCATCTGCAGAGAGATTAGTGACTTACCGTGGTAATTCTGTATTGAATTTCCTATCCTGTATGTTAGTTTCATTTTTAAGACCTCGAAGCTTTGACATGGAAAAATAACATATGATGTCTAATTGTCGTTTCCTTTCACAGCTCCAAACTGCAATACCTTTCAGAAGTCAGTGGAACCCAACAGGAGGCTATAATGACCAAAGTAACTATAAACCAACTACAGAACAAGTTTTTTGAGGTTTTCAGAGAATTAGTAGTAAAACTAAACGATTGAGTGAAATGCCGCAAGAAGTAATTGGATTTCCAATTTACATGGAGCTTGAAGGTGGTTTGGCTCAATTTGTAGAAGGGCAATTATTGACTTGAGGTGAATTTTCTTGCAATCAATACGCTGCCTACTTTCAGCCTGTGATTCCCCATCTATTTCCTTAAATCCAACCCGAGTTTGTATCGATCTGCTTGAGCAACAGATGGATTTTATCAAGGAGGACAGCCAGACAGCCACCAGAGTCCCTGTTGTGCATACAGATTGTTGGTACGTGACTCAGACTGGGCAAAGTCACTTGTGTTATGTAGTGATCCTGTAAAAACTGTACACACCAACTCAATAAAAAGAAGGCTGGGAATAGATCAGGGTTTGATTCCAACGTTTTGGTCCACTGAATGTGGTTATTGTTAATTATTAAAACTCAGATTAATCTGAGACACTACTCTCAAAGTAACAACTAAGTCTTTGTCCACATGGTTCAAGTTAAGCATATTATTACTATTGAAAATGAGCAAAGGGGAACTGGTAGCAGCTGGGTCGCTTTCATTTCCATGAACATGAAGTGAGGAAGTACTTGTTCCTCTGTCCTTGCTCTCTCTTGACTTATTTAGACCAAAGAGATGCTTCAGTCTGTCTCTTTATGCCCGCTTCTCTGTGACCTGGAAGCATCTGGACCAGGGAGGGAAACCCAACATTACTCAGAATGCAGACGTGAGCTCCAAACCCACACTGGACACATTCCTGTGCAAATACAGTGTATGCTGACATTCTGGGCTGACTTCATCACAAAACCTCCCTGAAGGACATTTAGATAGAGAAATTTCAGGCATCTCTGAAATTCCAGGCTCAAGATGGTGTTTATATGTAAGTGTGTTTTAACCCAAACAAGCTGCATGCAAGGCGCAGGGAGCTGGTTGGCTGCTCAGTGCACTGCTTTGGCGAGGGGTGAAATATTTTAACAAATTTGATCTCTCAGGCACCACCATCACGTGCCATTAAAGTGATGATCCCTTTGAATTGTTGAATTAAATTATGCAGATGTCTTTGTATCACGGGTCAAATTCTCTGTTCATAAAAAACCCCAAAATAACAAAAACTCTCATTTAATTCTCCAGAATATTCTTTTTGCAATGAAGGCTCCAATAGTCTTTCATAGAAGAACTTACTCTCTCCATTCCGCTCGTTTTCAATGATCCAACCGCATTAAAACCCCTGAAATGTAGACACCATGGCAGACATAGCATGTCCAACATATCCAACATACCTGCTGTGAAATATATTTATATTTTCCTTTTCTATCCTCAGCTTTTGGTGTGCTGCTACTTGCTCTGATAAGTAAATGAAAGATCATTTTTGCATTGGACAAACAAAAGAGTTCAAACTAAAAAGGGGCACACACACTTTTTTTTATTTCCTTCTGACTTCTGATTTTTATTGTCCTCCTCTGTTTATCTTTAGTTTTATAATCTCCTTCATCATTTACCAGCACTGTAATGAGCAGTGTAATGAGGTACCTAATTCATGTTATCTAACAGTTGTTCTAACAGAAGTTTTAAAAATTAGATTTTTTTCCTTTTTGTTTATCACCTTTAGTATAAATCACCTAAAACAAAACCTCCTGCTGGGCCGTAAATTGGCACCTGCCCATTCACCTTTTCCTCCAAACAGCTACCAATGACGGTTTCCACTATATATATTTTTCTCCTTTAGTCAGTAACCACAAGACTTCGCAGACATCTCGGTGACTGAAAACCAGCTCTGCTGATCCTACTTTTCAGTGGCTTTGGAGGACTCAATAAAGACCAGTGTTACTAGGATTAGCTGATAAAGGAACAACCACTTAGTCTGAGATGTTTTAAGTATAGAGATGTTCAGTGTTAAAGGAAATAATGCCATCAGCTGTCCAAAGGATTAGGTGATTTTGAAATAGCTTTAGATATGAAAAACCTATTCTGCATGAGATTTTTCAAGAATTATTGCAGTGAGCCGATTGGGCAATCTGCTTACAGAGTTCATGCTGGTTTTTCAAACAGCATTTTAACTTGTTGGTTGTTGCTTTTCCTGATAAATCAATCATAATGAATCATTTGCAGTTACATCTGGCATTACGATCTCCAAATGAGTCTGGCTGGCTTTGACAGCAATAAGGTCATATTATGGTCTACGTGCATTTGTGGCATTGACTGTGTCTGTCTTTATTCACACATTACGTCACATAATGTGGGATGTAGCTCAACTATAACACAGTTCATTATGAGACATTATGGACAGTTTTAAATCGCTCATCTCTGTTTTTACTACACTGAGCTCTTCAAACAGCTAAACATATCCCTTCCTGTCATTCAAATACACACAGCGCAGAGAGAAAAGTTAAAAGGTGATAATCTGGACTCGAATCAACTTTCATTCTGCTGTTTCGTCCTCTGGCAATATCTCACAATCAAACATCCATCTCACCAGGAAACACATTTCAAAGGACCTGTCTGCCCTGCCCACCTTTATTTTCCCACGGGAGTCAGCCAATGACGGTTACTAAATCCTGTCTTTCCCACTAAACAACTTTCTATTTATGAAGCAATCCTTCGACATACTGAGCTCATACTCTTGTGTGGATTTCGGGACATGGTAGAAAATGGCCGTAAGCACCTTCTGTCTTTTTGATGTGAGTGAAGCACGTTTATCTTGAGCATGTATTCAACATTTTCAGAGGTTTGCTTGTAGCTCTGCCAAAATGAAGTCTGAATTTCAAATTAAAAATCGTTGGCCATCTGTCTTGTTTGTATCGAGCCTGTGTCTGCACCTCTATCTATAGTTTAATATACATAATAGAAATCTTATCTTCTGAATAAGTGCTTTCTCTTGTCTCATAATTAGAGCTATTGATATTTTGAAACACTCAACCCTTCCCAGAAAATGCTGTGCATCTTCTGCCATGAGATGAACCAATGGGGGCTTTTCCTGTGAGCTGAAGAGACATCTTGTGGCGAGGAGAAAACACTTGTCATTGACCAAGGTCAAAATGATAAACATGGCCATGCTTCCTTGAAAAAGACAGCCGTTTATCATTTTAGCTTCCAGACATAAACAAACTCTGTGATTGGATAAGTCAAGGTAAGACAAAATGGTCATGAGCTTTGTTTAACATGCCATTAATGCATAATATACAATCTACACAAGCTTTTTACTTGTGTTTTGCTGATTCAATATTATTCAGCAGCAGGCAATGAAGCGCAATAAGCCCAAGTTTGTACTTTCATTAAAAACAAAGGAAGGCACAACTTTCAAAGGACTTCTCATTACACAAAATCAGGAATGAGACTCCTAAGTCAGCTTTCCTAACATGCAGTGTAAAGAGATGAAACGGCCTCTTTCCCTCAGCTGGCGTCATTATCGCAAATATTTCAGCCATGTTTCCACCTGGCAAGCCTGAAACCACAAACAACAAAGGCCAAACTTTTCTACAAATTCAACACTTTCTATTGATGCTGGAGCCAGACTACCTTTAATAGGCCGTGTTGTTTGTTCACTTGAAAGTAAATGTCAGGACACAGTGCATGTGTGTGTGTGTTTGCTGATCATTTTCTTTGCCGGCTTAAAGAAAAGAAAAAGCAGCATCCGAGGTCTTCCAGCTGAGCGACGTCACGCTCAGGCATCTGCAGCGAATGTTTACCAGCATCAGTCTGTACCACCCATCACACCACATACTGTTGAGTCCCTGCGAAACCCACTCTCTGGTTTCCGATGGTCACAATTAGTTCAAGTGTGAGATGTGACAGAAGGACGACACAGGAACAAGGAAGCCCAGCTGACCAGCTTCAGTTTGTCACACATTGCAGTTTCTCCTCTTCCTCCTGCCTCTTTATCGTGCCTAAAGTGGCACAGATGACTGCTTTAGAAAGCACAAAGGCTCAGAGTGAACTTGAATGTCAGAAACACAGACCGCTGTCTGTAGTCTGCGCTGTGACGGACTGATTCTGAAAGTGCTGCCCTGCAGGGCAAATGTCATCCGATTTGTAAAGCTTGACTCCACAGAGCTGTAACTTTCTATTGCTAATAATCAGATTTAAAGTAAAGTAGGTCAACATTTATAAGATCACCTAGGAGTCTAGCTAACTTGCTCTGGATCCCAACTCGCTGGAGAACAGAGAGCTCACTTTGGTTCTCAAGCATGCAGCGTCTCACACAAGTTGGGGAGCCGGTGCAGTGGCCATGGCAACCTTGTTCGAGCCACAACAAGAGGGGTTTTGTGCTGGTGGGCCACGTAGTTGAGCCTACTGTGACTGGCCTCCTTTTAGTCTCTTCCACTGCCTTTGTCTATCTTTGTCTCTCTTTCTTGCATTCATACTCACGCACACAACCAGTATTTTTATTTTTTTATCTGTTCCCAGGGTGCTTGGTGTCCTGATAGGGAGTGTTTACAGGATTTATCTGTGTCAGCGCTGGTCTCTCATCCCTCTGAGTGGTTATTTTATGGAATGCTGGAACAGGATAGAGGAGTTGCAAAGGGGATGACAAGAGCCTAGACAGAGGAAGAAGGGAGAGAGAGAAGGAGAGAGAGGAGAGAGGAAGAGAGAGGAAGAGAGGAGAGAGACTATATTATATCCTAAGGAGGCTGGTGCTCACAGGCACAGCTGGACTACTGGGATACTGGACTGCAGCCCATTGGACATTTAACTAAAAAGGTGAGTTTTTTCATTCTTTTCTAATTATTTGTTGAGATCTTCATCATTTATCATTATTTTAAAAGAAAGGAAGGAAGAAAGAGAACTCATTGCCTATATCCATATAACATTTACATTTTCATTTCATGCTCTCAACATTAAATGAAATTTTTAACTGGAATGCCACAGGTAGAGTGAGTCTTTCAGAGGATGTGGCACTTGAAAAACCACATCCTAGTGCGACAGAGCCGTTAAGTCTCGTCGCACTTAGAGGAAAAACCGGAGTTTGATCAAGTGCCTGTGTGGGACTCGCCTTTTTCTCCTCTCTTTCTCTCACCAAAATATGTTTGATGTCAAAGAAGACTTTTTGGTTTAACAAGGGAGGTTATTACCAAGTAATTACCAAGATGTTCAGTAAATACTTACTCCCTATTTTTGTTTTCCTTCATTAGAATGGAATCTAAATCTGTTATTTAATTCCAAATTAAAATTTTGAAAAGTTAATTTTTGTTGCTTGTCATTTGATTCTCATAGAAATGCACAAAAAAATCTGTTGGTATGTTACCAAATGAAGTAAATCTAATTAGCACAGTGATAGGAAAGGCTGTAAAATGACACCACTGATCTCATCACTGCAGCAGTCACTGTGAGCTGATAAACTGTTGTTACATATAAACTTGTATTTTTGTGGTTTTTTACACAAAAGTAAATCCTCACAAATATTACATCTGGGTGCATTCAATTAAACTGAGGCTGTAATGAGGAGGGAAATGTGGTTGTATTACTGAACAAGTGCACTGGTGGGGGATTTTCTTCTCTCAGTCTTGGGTGTGCCTTTTTCTGAGCTCCAGGGAACTAGAAATTAGTTAGCTCATCTCTTTTGGGTATTTTACATAGAAAAATATAGAATCATCATCGAAGTAAATCCCCTTTTTTACCCATGTTGTGAACATCTGTGTTTGCTTTGGTTCTTGGCTATTGTTAGAGAAGTAAAAATGACATCCCAAAAGGCCAGCACTGCAGTGTTGCACAATATGTCCACGTCATAATTCATGAGTACACATACCATATTTGACATCTGTTCTGTTTTACCATCCATGACTCGTTTGTGTACTTAATTTTTTTTTTTTTTTTTTTGGACCTATGTCAATGCCACCAGGACTTAAAAACGAGTCCCTGTCATTAACTCGTGCTCTGAGGGCGCGGCCTGAAACTGGATGCCTACATGTGCTGACATGACCTGATGTTTGCTTTTATTGTAGAGTTTGTTTGTCAGGAACATGTTTTAGAGAACCTATTCCTGAGACTGCAAACACTCTCCTACACAGGAGCACCATGGCATGCTGAGAAAGGATTGAAAAGACAGAGAGAGACTTTATGTTACTTATATTTGCTAAAATAAAGAAAAAGCTGAGCCCATATTTTATCTGAAATGCTAAAATCAATGAACTTCACAAGGGTTTCGTGTTTCTTCTCCTTTCAGGCACCAGCAAAGCCTTTGGAATCCTTTAGATTAGTTACTGTGAACATATAGTTCAAAGATGAACAGTGGTGGCAGACTGGCTCGTGAACAACAGGGACAAGATAGAGAAAGGTGTGGAGATCATGGGGCAAGCCTCTGAGGTGCTAGCTGCCACTGTGGGCCAGTTACACCCCGTCTTGGAGGCCGTGTTTGTGGCCTCAGCCGAGCTGCTCAGCAACCCGGACAGCAAAGAGGCTCGCTACTTAACTCAACAATTCGAGATGGTGAACCAGAAACTTGAAGGAATCCAAGATGAGATTGATAAACTTGCCCTGGAGCTGCAGAGGACGTCGATGAACCAAGCAAAACTTTGATCGAGAGGCACAGATGATCAGCCAGTATGAGAAGTTTCAGGTCTTTGTCAACGCCAAGCCAAAGTTCAAGGAGAAAAAGATGGAGAAATTCATCAGCCATTATGAGAGCACCGATATGGATTTAAACTTGGATGCCCTCTACAATTCTGTCACTGGGGAGAACACCTCAGGAGACCCTATGCTGGAAACTGTAGTTAATACAGAGCAGAGAAGCAGAAGAGCAGTGGAGGACTTCTGTGCTCGACTGAAGAAGCTTTTTGTGGTTGGCATTATCGCTGTCATGGGTTATGCTGCCCTCAAGGAAGGAGGAGTTGGGAGGAGATGGTGAAGAAGTGGCAAGGACGAATGGAGGAAGTGGAAAAGCGAATGAAAGCAGCTGTGGATGACTGTACAGAGAACTTTGCCACACAAGCCAAGGTGGACATAGAGCATCTAGTTCAGAGAACCGGGCACTGCCGACCTGAACTTCACCAACACCATCTTGGATGCTCTTGCTAAGAAATACGACTGGGTGAACTGGTCCATCAGGGCTTTAATGACCGGGAGCGCATTTCTTTTTTAACTGGCTAGCTGGAAAGAAGTACCATGAAGTGGGGAGCCACTGGTTTGACCTTTTGACCAAGAACAAGATCAAGATGTGGTCTCTTTCTGTGTCACCCCAAGCCTATTAACAAGAGTCAGATCCAGGAGAAGATTGAGCAGGAGAAGTTGAAGGGGAACATGATGGCAGTTGCTCTGTCTTTGAACAAAAGCTTCCCCAACTGCCTGGTCCATGCTGTCAGCCATTACAAGGCAGTGGTGCAGTCCACCAACTTCCAAGAGGATTGTTACTACTTTGGAAAACACAAACGAGCGTACTTGTGCATTCATCCTGAGTAGGCCAATGAAAAATGTAATGTGTACCTTCTTATTGATGAATTTATGAATGTCTTTATCAGAGACTTGAAAATATCTCCATTCAATATAGAAATGTATTCCTAAATCTTGCCTCTGTTGATGTGTAATCAGCTCTGTCTGGGTTTTGCTATGTGACCCATTGTCTAATGCAACAATTTATATTCTTATATGTGTAGCTTTGAGGTGAGAAAATTCAGAGCCAGATGTGTCCATGCCAGCTTTGTCTTAGCATTAGGTCGTGAATCTGTTCCCACTGAATATTAGCCTGCTAAGGGTGGATGACTGAGAAATATGTGTTTGTGAGCTTTCAGAGATTTTAAGATTATATGTGAAAATCTACCCTTGGAAAAATGCTGGCTTTGGATGTTCTGAAGATGACATTCGTGACTATCAAAACTGGGTTTGGATGGATTATTAGTCAGCGACTTGGTTCTGAATAAAAAAATATTAAAGAGGTGTTCAACAATTAAAAGAATAGTTCACATTTGGGGAAATGTGTATATTTGCTTGCTTAGCCTTCGATTTCTATATTAAAAATCGAAAGAGAAATCCGTCCATTCATTTTCTTCTGCTTGTCCCTTGGGCCTACCTCAGCTGTCACAGGTGAGGGCCAAGGTAACATGGATCACCGCTATATCAGACAGAGATATATTCATGCTGAGAACCACTTAGAGTCACAATTATGTGTACTGTGGAAGGAAGCCAAAGCACTCATGAAGCTTTAAGAATGATTTAAGTTCACATTAGAGCAGTAGAGCTCGTCTAATCTCAACAAAACAATCAAACAAACAAAAAATAACCATTAAAAAAATTCAGGTGCCCTGTTATAAAAAGATAAGATACCTTTGTTAGTCATACAGGTGGAATTTTTTTGTTTTGTGTGCACCAAATGACTAATACTGTGGTAGATAGTGCATTAATATTACCCACTCTCCAAATAAAAGCTTATTTAAAAAAAATCAAATATTTTGCTGGTTTGTGCTGTGTGGGAAACCTTTCACATACGATTAATGTTTACTTTCATCCATAATAAACTAAAATTACGGATATTTTGTCATCCTTTGTTATCGTCGTTACTCTCTTATTTAAAGGGTCGTGTTGCGTTCAAACGAACTCAGTCAGATTAGCTCTTTAACGGTTATAATGCTGTAATAACATGCCTTTGTTTATTAGATGGGTGGAGGCCGATCTGTATACAATATCAACAACAGACTATTATGCCACAACTGATTTTCCCTCCACCACCCAGGATTTTTCTTTTTCTTGTACTTCTTCTGGGTTTGACTGGGTGTGTCTGCTCTCTGTAACATGAGAGCCACATGACCAATAGGAAGGCAAACAGTCTGGAAGTTAGAGTTCTTCCGCAAACTTTATGAGGTGAGTCCGTTTCTCTTGAAAATGTTTCATAGTGGACAGGCACATTTTAACTGCGTGTGAGCAGAGACATTATAAGGGTCCTGTGGCGGTAGTGTTAGTGCTGATGAGTGGAGGATCGATTCAGCTTAATCGACTTCATGCCACTCTCGTTACATAATCGAGCTGTTTTTTTTTAAACCCGCTTTTTGTTCACTGCTGTTAAAAGTCCTCGTATATTTTGTTAACGCGGGTTGTTTTAATAAAGCGGAGTGGGTGATTAGACGAATCTGCAAAATTTAATGCAGTTCAGGCAAAACTTTTATGGGCGTTGGTTGCCAGATCTGGTGCCACCGCTTTACTTTTTCCAGGAAGTGCTTTTTTTTTAATCCACTGACGCGGCTGCGCTGTAACGCAAACCTAATCTGTGGTGTGAAGCTGCTGTGTTTGTTTGTTTCTCTGCCCATCAGATGTAAAACGATACAATTACAACCCTCGCGCGCGGACTGATCGATACTTCATCCATTAAGAGAGCGCATTTAACAGAGCGTTAAGTTTTTTCCCTGCTCAGTGGTCAGACTGAGTGGTCAGCTGTCAGATGGAGGGTTTGTTCTACTGTCCAGATGAAGCTGGCACTAAAGTCAGTGCAGATAGCGCATGCGCGTTGTGCGTTTCTTGCCACTGCACAGATCCTCATATAAATTTGCCATTGGCATATCACAGTGTTTAAATTCTGCACAGTAATAATAGATGAGAAGAAAACCGTCACCCTGGCTGATATTTTTATTATATTGCTCTTTGAGACCGTATCAACGCATAAGCAGCATATTATTGGTCAGTTCAGTCCTGAGCTGACAGAGCCAAAGCTTACACCTCTCCAGTGGGTCACACACAACTGAAAGGTCATCATAGTATTAATGTAATACAAAAAAGATAAAGACACTTTTATAATGTTTGCTGATTTGTAGAATATACTGTATTTACCCTCCTCTTTGGTCTTTGAGTACTTAAAAAGGAAAATTCATGTTTGTATAACTGTGAACAACTTAAAGATACCTGAAATGTAACTAAATAACCCAAAAATCACAGAAATCATTTTGCATTTTCTTTAGATTTTTAGTGTAAACGCTTGATCTGAAAAGCCCTGGAGTTAGAAAATATACTGGTCAAATAGGAGCAGCAGAAGAATGACTAAAACAGCATCTAAATGGCAGTACACAGACTGCGGTGTGCATCTCTGTTATGTGAGCCGCAGCAGCTCTTTGTCTATGAAAATGTGATTTCTTTAAGCACTTTTATGTTTGAAGCATCTGCGTGGAGGTGTTTCATGCACTCAGACTGCAGTTACAAAACCCACGAGACCCCGAGAAGTAGCGAAACCGAGAGATAACATCAGTGGAAACATTTTTTATGCTTAAATCAAATGAGATGCAGTAACTGGAAATGCTCTAAACCCCTGCTGGAATTTCCTACTTTGCTGTTTTTCTTAATTTTTAGAACAAAATTGCACAAATATAACATCCTACATATGTTATATTTGAGAAACAGCCAAGTGAACAGCCTTCCCGTTTCCTCTTTGCTTTCTGGGTTGCTGAACATATCATATCCTTTATATCACTTTTTTTGTTGAAGAGGTTTGTGTTTGTTTATTCACAGGTGTGACACTTTGAGGATAGAGTTCTTGTGGAGAGTTAGATGAAATTAATCATATTTCTCCATAAATATGAAGCAACTGATTAGCTTAGTTTGTCATAAAGACTGGTAAACAACATGTCTGGCCCTTTCCCAAAGAATTCTTGGCCGGGAGCAGTGACTTTGACTCCAGGCCAAAATGTAGCCAATAAAACATAGCTAAACCCCAAATTCTTTTGCGTTTAAGTTTTTGTATAAATTAATCAAACAAGATGAACATTTACTGGGCACTTTATTAAGTACAAGTGTAAAAATCTAATGCAATCCAGTGCAACAGCTTTCCCCTCAAATAAAGATTGAATGTGTTCAGTATTTGCTGACATTGTCAAAAAGGCAATATGTCTTTTTTATATATTACTTAGGTTATAGTCAGAGATGATTACATCTAAGTTTCTTTCATTTCCACCACCCATTGTGCTGGTTATAACGTTGTTTATTGTGAGAGGATAGCTTCTTATCTGCATCCTGCCAAGAAAAACGTAGGTGTGTTTTCAAAAAAGGCCAAACTATTCCTTTAATCTGTGTTCAGATTTGCTAAATTCTGATCACCTGTCTAGACATCCTTCGTGCTGGTGTCTGATAGCTGCAGAGGTGTGAGATGCATCAGCCTGAGAAATGGTGCTATCTACTGCAGTTTAGCCACATAACCCCCCCTGGGACAGACTTGACCTCAGCAGAAAGATAAATGAGCCTACAGATTATTTTCCATTGTCTTGTTGCCGTGGTAACTTGCTGAGTTTCACTGGAAAACGCACCCTCGCCCAGCAAGTTTAACCTCTTTACACTTAATCACTTCCCACGCCTGCTGCTCTGATATCGACTGAGGAGAAACAGCACTGCTGCTTCTCACTCAGCTCCAAATGAAACACACCATGTGAACAAGACCAGAAAGCTGAACTGAAGAGTGTGACGGCAGATTCTTTACCGAGAGCTGCAAAATAAACAGTCACAGTGGACTGTTTTTTTTCCACACAAATGAAAGTTTCTCCCAAAATTGCACATTTCCAGATTTGCACCAAGGACATGTCTGAACATGCCCAGGAAATCAGTTAGTGTTGCTCATGCTGTGAGTCCTGGAATTTGGAAATGTTCAGACTAAGACTTTCCAAGTTCAACAGGGATCCGGTTTTTAGGCTGAAATGAAGGGAAAACTTTTTCCCCCTGCATATCAATAAATGCACAGCATGCTTTAATTTGTGGAAGGGTTATTGCCATCTTGAATTTAACCCTTGATTTTACTTGCTTGATTAGCTTTAGGAAAAGTTCACTGCTTCGACAACGTTAGTCCTGCATGTAGAAAAGTGAAGCCCATCCAATATATGAGACTAAAGGATTCTTTACAAGCCCTCATATGTCTGTCATGACCTGTTTCACTTCTATAAACCCAGAGCATCGAGCACACACACCTTATGTGTGTCGGTTAGCAGCTTTGGTGCTATGGCCATTTTTAACGCTTTGGAAATGACAGACTTTCACTACTCAAGTGAAGCTTTCAGAAATATCACACCGTCTTCCTTTCGTTCAGCTTTTATGGGAACTGATCTGTTGCCAGAAGCTCATGAACTGTCCTGACTTCACGTGTTACACTTTTAGAGACTTCCTGATAATTTGGCCTTGAGTTTTCAGTTTTTCCAGACATGTTTTCAGTCTTTATGTTAAGCTAAGTTGCTGGCTACAGCTTCAGTATAATGTTGAATTATTTTATAATTTAACCCTTTGCAAAAAAGGCAACAAAATAATGGATTTCAAACTCTTTCGGCATTTAATTGTACTTTTAACTTGGAAAACAGCCCATTGAACAGTGTGACTTAAAGAGGAGATAGTTGCATTTAACAGTCCAAGTACATAATTTAGTTCCACATGCTTTTATTCTCTGCAAGTTTGCCATGGTAAGCATGTGAGCTCTGTGTTTCTCCGTTAGGCTTGGCTTGGCGTGGCTTGAAACCAGTCAGTGCTCCTCCATGTTGTCTTTGCATAATAGTCACTCTGTTGAGGAATAGCTGTTTAAGTTGAATGTAAATGTAAATGTTGAGCAGGTACATTTTACCTCCCAGCGGTTAACATATGAATAACATGCAGCAGTTCAGCCCATACCAGTCCTCCGTCATTACTGAACTCTCTTGGCATTGTTGAGTCATTGCTCTTTGGGTGTGACTAGCAGCCAGCACTGAAGCTCACTTGGCTGTTTCTCTCTTTCCTTATCAGTGTTTGCTGCGTAGTAAGAAGCACAAGGCCTACAGTCTACAGTCCAACAACACTGGAACAGAGCTGTAAGTAGAGTTAGAAGACCAAAAACCGACCCCTCATCTCTGTTTTACTTTGACTGTTGTTAATATTACAAGAGGATCAGTTCTGACTGTTTCTAAGAATTTGATTGTTTTTCTTCGGTCTGAGACAGACGTCAGCAAAGATGGCAAATCCACTACAGAAGCTTGTGTCTGAGAAAAAGGACATGGTGGAGACAGTGATGGAAGTGTTTGAGCAAGGAGCTGAAGTGGTGGCCAGCATCGCCGGTGACCTCTTCCCCGTCTTCTCCATCGCAGCCCCGATTGTCAAGCTGGCTCTGGACAACGTGGAGAGCAAAGAGGCCGCATTCATGAAGGAGCAGTTTCAGAAGGTCAGAGATCGGCTGGATGTAGTGTCTGAGGAGCTTCAGCGGATCAACGAGGAGATCAAGAAGAGCGGAGTGGATTCTACGTACTTCCCCGTTGAGGAAAACATTACTAATCAGTTCAGGAAGTACATGGACATCCTCAACGCCAAACCTAAGTTCCGGGAAGTGAAGAAGAAGCTCTTCCTGGAGCATTTCGCCAAGACCGGAGGCGACAAAAATATTAACACCCTATACAACGTTGTGATGGGAGAAAGTTTCTCTGGGGAACCTTTGCTCGAGATCATCCTTAACTATGAGGAGAAAAATCGCCGGGTGATGGAAGACTTTTGCGCCCGTCTGAAGAAGCTCTTCTGCATTGCGCTCATTGCACTGCTGGGCCACGCTGCTCTGAAAGGATATGACGAGGAGGACGATCTTCTGAAAGAGTGGGGTGAGAAGATGAAGGCTGTCCAGGGTAAAATGAACGCTGTCATTGAAGACTGCATCGTCAGCTTCCCTAAACAAGCTGAAGAAGACTCCCGACGACTGGTGAGAGATCAGCAAGATTTAACCAACCAACAGCTAGCTGAT